TTCCTTCCTTCCTTCCCCCCTCCTTCCTTCCTTCCTTCCTTCTTTCCTTCCTTCCTTCCTTCCTTCTTTCCTTCCTTCCTTCCTTCCTTCCTTCCTTCCTTCCTTCCTTCTTCCTTCCGTCCTTCCTTCCTTCCTTCCGTCCTTCCTTCCTTCCCTCTTTCCTTCCTTCCTTCCTTCTTTCTTTCCTTCCTCTCTTTCTCTCTTACTTGCTCTCTCTCTCTCCTCTCTCTCTCTCTCTCCCCTCCCTTCTTATTTTTTTCTTTTGGTGGTGCTGGAGTTTGAACTCAGGGCCTCACACTTGCTAGGCAGGTGCTCTACCACTTGAGCCACTCCACCAGTCCATTTTTGTTTTGGGGGCGTTTTTTGAGGTAAGGTCTCATGTTTATGCCTGGCCACCTAGATTGCAGGCCTCCTCGTATTTATTCTCTTTGTATTTATGCTTCTTGATGACAGGTGCCCACCACCACCTATCTCACCACCAGTTGAGATAGGGTCTCATGAACTATTTGCCCAGGTTGGCCTCGAACCATAATTAAATAGTAAAGTTTGTATGACTTGCAAAAATCTGGGAAGAATATGATTGACCCCTGTGGGGTCTGGCCTCTGTAATCAAGCTATCTGCTGTGGTAGAGGGGAACAGGGCAGTGGCAGATCCTCGTGCAGCTGTACCTCAGTACGCATGTGGTCGTCTCCAGGACCCTTCCCCTCAGCAGGCCCACATCCCAGATGCACAAGTCTCTGATATAAAGTGGCATAGTATTTGCATAGAGCCTGAACATTCTTATAGACTTTGAGTCATCCCTAGGTGACTTACGAGACCTAAGACAATGCAAGTGCTATGTAAATAGTTGTTACACTGTATCATTTAGGATACAAGTCTGTATACATGGTAAATTCACACATAATATTTTAAAAAATATTTTTTCAGCCTGTGGCTGGTTGAATCTGACTATGTTTAGTTTGGGGGAAAATGAGTCAGTTCGGCATGTTTGCATCTTCCCCACATACACCAAAGAGAATTTTAATATGATTAATATTCATATGAGTAATATGCCCTTTCATTAATCTTAAAAAAGTTGATCTTAGGGCTGGAAGTATAGCTCAGTGGTAAAGCTATAGCATGTGTGAGGCCCTGAATTTGAGCTCCAGCACTGGGGGGAAATAAGCAGGTCATCTTCATCTTCCAAGGTCAGTTCCTAGGCTGTTGTGATTCAGTTATTAAGAGAATAAGTAGAAAGGGGCTGGTCAGGAAATGCTGAAGATTTAAAGTCGATACATCTAATTAAGTGCTAGGAGGGAGACAGGTAGAGGAGATGGTCATGAAAAGAAGTGGGGCGAGAAGTGATGCTTGCGCTTAGGACAGACATCATGAAGAATGAGATTCCTTTTGAGGAATGGGGAGGGTCCAGTCGTGTGGTGGGTGGTGTTGCTTTGGCTCTCAGACAGAAGAGATGGGCTACCAGTTTGGGTCATTTTGAGTCTGAGATGCCTGAAGAACCTGGGGAGAGAAGAGTGCTCTGAAGAATGTTGGAAATACAGATGGAGAACTCTTGAGAGGAGTGGTAGCTAAAGGCTGGGGAGCTGTGTGTCTGTAGGTATTTATGGGTGAGAGTGCCATGGTCAGGCATAGAAGAGAAGAGCCAAGGAGGAACCTCCAGAACTCAAGCAGCAAAATCTCAGAACGGAGAGTTACCAGGAGGAGGGACTAGAAAGTAGTCAGATGGTGGGGTGAGGCTTCAGAGAAACTAGTCTCTGGATAGCCAAGAGGGAGACAGTTTCAACAGAGGAGGGAGCAAACATGGAGCCCGAGAGGCAGAGACAGTGGTGTGGAGTGGGAGCTGTAGAAGTCCTCTGTAAAATTTCAGGATTCTATTGAGTCAGTTGTTATGCAGACCTGTTAAGAATTAAGTGTATATACTTAGAACTAAACAGGTTGTGTTGAAAAGAAAGGTAACAAACACACAGACCACATGGCATACTTCCCATTGTTGAGATCAGTCATGCCCATTGTACGTGTGGTGCACCTCCTGCAGTGTTGCACCATCTCCCCCAGCTGTGCTCACAGACATCACGTTGCAATCGGTCACAATGGGAATGTTTACACCATGAAAATTGGCAACCCCTCAAATCAGAGCACTTTTCCCATGGCAGGAGGGTCAGTTAGGCATTTATTACCAGCACGCCATTGGAGAAATGTAGAATGGATTTAACAAGGAGTCAGCTTGTCACTTATACTTGTGTTTCAGGAGCAAGACTGGTAGCAACCACCACGATGGAGGGTGAAGGAGAGAAATATGGGCAAGTGACGAAATAAGTGTTCAGATGAGTTGGAGAATAATAAAGTTAGGCCAATCCTTGTTGATGGTGGGATTTATTTAATTATAGGGCTTACAGAGTATATATGGATTTATTCATTTCCCCCAAATGAGCAACATATGCAAATTTATTTTCTGGCGAAACCGTTTCTGTTGGAAAAGGAACTAGTTATTTATAGAAGATACCTCGGGAAATATTTCACAATTAAGACCATATTGCTTAAAAGTTTGAGAGAAATAGTCTCCTATTAAAATTTTCTTGGTGTTTTAAAGAAATATTATCTAGAGTGAACATTGACTCTTTTTTTTTTTTTAATGCTGGGTATTAGAACCCAAGGCCTTAATCAGGTGAAGCAAATGCCCTACTGCCAAACTCCATCCCAGGCTGAATGTTCAATTTTATTGAGCACTGTTGCATTTGTTTAGATAATCATATGCTTTATACTGACTTATTTGATAGGTTTCTGACATCAAATCTCCTTTGCATTTCTGATACAAATCCAACTCGATTATGATAGGTTATGTTCTTGCATGTTGAATTCTTTAATTAGCATTTTCTAATTTTAAATAAATAATAATAAGTAAGACTGATATTTTTCTGTGTTTTTGAGTCAGATTTTCATGTCGATATTATGATACTTTTGAAAACAGTTTGGACGTTGTATTTTTTAACTCATGAACAGGTTGTATAATAAGAAAATCACCTCTTTGTTGAAAATTTGGGTAAATCTAAATAGTAAAGAAGTAATTTTTTTTTGACAGGGCTGGGGATGGAACCTGAGATACACTCCCAGCCCCTCCGGGAAGTGACTCTTTGATAAGTTTTCAGTGATTTCCACTTTAATTCTTTTCCTATTTCTCAAGTCAATTTTTACCATTTATTCCATTTCTGACAAATTAATCTGAGTAAATCACTCTTGGCCTGCATTATTATCTCCTTAGGTTCTAGTACAGTCCCATGTCACATACTCAGCAGTGGAACGAGTAGGCATGAGCTGTCCTTGTCTACTGTGAGTTTTGCTGAAGAGTGGAACATCTGACTGTCATGACCCTTGCAGCCCGGTTCCCAGGCTCGAGGGGTAGGTGGGGGTTACCATCTAATGACACGGTGTGGTTCTGAGTGGATACAGGAAGGAGGAGCTGACCTGAGCCAAGGGAGAGGGCTTGGGAAGAGGTGACAGAGATCTGCCTGCCTCTGGAGGTAGTAGGAGCCACCCTGTTTTCTGTTGGACCCACTCTTGGGGTCCAAGTGAGGAACAGATAGCAGTTTGCACTTGTTTACTTTCTTCCTGTCTACTTTATGAATTCAAAGGGAAACTGAGGCACAAGCCAGAGAAAGCTAACAGGGCTTAATCTTATCCTGGGGTCAGTATTCTTTGATTTTTTTTCAGGTAGTCATTTTATCAAAAATTTACTAACATTGTTTTCTTTCATTTCCCCATACTTAGACCTTCTTTTGCCACTGCCTTAAGTGTTTGAAAAAGCCCAAGTGCAGCTCTCGTAGATAAGGCGTTTGTTGTGCGTCCGACGTGGTTTATCTGATGATCAGTGCCTGTGTGGACGCTCCTTTTGCTTTTGACAAGTCACTTGGTGTTTATGTAAACTGCTGTGCTATGGGTCAGCAGTGACAGGCAGAAAACAAAATCGTTACTTGATGATTGGTACCGATTTGCCATTGAGAGGTTTCCAGCTTCTGAGCAGAAGCGCTCACAAGGCTGGGAACACAGACAAATAAACAAGCAAAGTACACTGGCTGTAACTCATGTCGTTTCATATTAGAAATGACAGAATGGGAAACTGTTTATCTTCATGAACTGTCACTTTCATGCTGGTAGCGAGTCATTCCTGTGAATTTCAGATTGAAAGGCGCAGAGGACAGAGCAGGACTTGGATTTATGGGGGTGGGACCTGGCTCTGCGGGCCTCCTGACAAGGCTTTTGGCACCAGAAGCTGTTTTGTCTTTATGGGATGCACTATTCTAGGATCCCCAAGCCCTTCATAAGAGACAAGGATGTGAATCACTTATGGAGACAGTTTGCTCTCTGGATCCCTCTGAAAACCCAGCTCCATGTGGGGTATGCTGCGCCTGCCAGGCCTAACCAAGTCTACACTGCTGTGAAATGCACGTGAAATTGTGCCTGCACAAACTCCAGCTCCACAGTGGGCAATTCTGCTAAATGTGTGTCTTTGTGTGTGTGTGAGTGTGTGTGTGTGTGTGGTGCAGGGGATGGGACCCAGGCCTCACCAATGCTAAGCAAGGGCCCCAGCTCTGAGCCACACCCGCACCTCTCAGACCTTTGGAAGTTACTAATCCCTAAGATCTCCTTTCCCCTAAGTCTGCACAGTGATGCAGGTGTCATTATTCATTTGACATATGAGGGAGATGAGGTAAAAGGCTTTGCCTCGTGTCAGTGTCCCAACTGGGAAAGTAGGAGAAGTTAATTTAATACGCGTCTCTTTCATGAAATAATTTCAAGAGGGTTCTCCAGCCTTGCCTGAGTCATTTGGTGGTTTGTCGATTACCTCTGGAGAATGCAAAGCAAAATCGGCTCAAGGAAAGCAAATAATCAGGATGAAATCAACCAAGAAAATTCACTTCTGCGCTTGCATTTTGGCAGCCAGGTTGTCTGAGGATTTTGAATATGCGTGTATATTGATAATCTTGTTTCTTTTTAATTTGTTCAGATTGGAAGAGGCCAACTGTGAACCTCAGATACACAAGAAGGTCATTTTCTCAAACAGGAGACGTCTGTTAACGGTAGGTAAATCAGAATTTATTATATTGAATTTCTCCTTAAACAGATGCCTTTTAAATGACATGCCAATTCTTCACAGTATTTTATCGTAAGATTTCTTAGAGAGCTTTTATTTTTGACTGTCACAGAACTTGCTGCTATGAAAATTACTAGTCAGAGTTCACGGTAACATATTTGTCTGAGACAAAACAAAGATAGGAAAATGACCTAGAAGTTGACTTAACAGTAAGTCTCTAATAAGCCTTTTTCATAGTCCTCTGATTTTTGTACCCAAGTAATAATTGCAAGTTCATTATTTTGCCTTATTATGATGCTTAGAATTAAGATAAAAATTGAAATATCTTGCCTGGTCCCCACGGGCCATGCACCCATAATCTCTGTCACAAAGAAGAAAATCTAGAAGATTTCCGAGTCATTGCTCGTAACCCACATTGAAACTGCTCCTTCCCCAGGACTGACAAGACTGGGATGAAATTTCAGCGCTGTGGGGAGAGTTCTAGAAAGTTTACCATTGAGAATTTAAATGTCTGAGGCCTGATCCTAGGGTTCTAAGGCAGGGCTGAGTCTGCAGACGTGTCTGGGGAAGGAGGGCGATAGATCTCTGTCAGGGTTTACCTATTTTGCGGACTATTGATTACAGTCAGTAAGGAAAGTCAAAGGAAGGTTCATGTTCCTGAAATCTGTAGAGAAATCCATAGTATTGAAAAACTACCTGTCAGATCCACAGATACAGATAGGAATGCAGAGTGTGCCTGGGCGAGGTTAGCACTTGGGCACGGGTTCCTCCGCTCTGTCTCCTGAGCGGGCAGAGAAGCAGTGCCTCCCCAGGAGCACACCAGACTTTTGGCTTCCAAATGCCATTTTTCCTTATAAGAAACCAGAGCTCTTTGGAGAAGTGGTTGGTCACCAGCCCAGGGCTCCAACAACACAGCATGAGCCTGGAGGACTTTGTGCTGCCAGAAGTGGTTTGGCTGGGAGCTGAGAGAGCCACCAGTGACCAAAAGCTGGGACAGTTTAAGCAATAAAACAACTAACTATAGGACTGGATTATAACCCCCAATAAAAATATATATGTTCAGACTGATAGGAAGAAATCTGAGTAAGTAAATAAGTGAGGGTGCAGAGGGGGAGAAGCCTTCCTCACAGAAGAGCTTAAATTCATCAATGTGAAAGGAAGGAGGAAAATAGAGAAGTGTTGGAGAACCAGAGGACACCAAAAGAAGTGGGCAGGTGAGGGTGTAAGGAGATGCCAGTGTATTTGCACAACCTCAAAGGATTTCCCCCACACGAGTATTCATTACAAAAGGGGGCAGACTAACTTTACAGTGATGAATCCTGGCAGACACCACTGTAACCCAGCAACCAAGGTCATTACCAAGGGTAAGAAGACATACCCAGCTCATCCGTCCCAGGCAGGATGTCCAGAGAAGGGCACAGCAAGCCTGTCCTGCTCTTCTCCAAAGCCCGTGGCCTCAGCTGAGTCACGGGACAGCTTTAGACAAGCCTAAATTGACAGGCATTCCATGAAATACCTGAACAACTCTCCAGTGTTGTCGGGGACACAAGGGACAAGGAAGCGTGAGCTGGAGCTAGCCGAAGCAGGGAAAGCTGGGGAAACACAAGGAAGGTGGTTATAGTGTTGTGGCACCATAACCACAAAGACAGTAGAGTGTGTTCCTGGACGGGACACTGTCTTTGTGACTTTTCTGTAAATCTTAAATCATTTCAGAGGCATAAGGGTTTAATTAATCTTCTTTATGGTGTTGAGGATGGAACCCAGGGTTTTGCACATTCTAGGTTAGTGCTGTACCACCGAGCTACAGGCATAGCCCCCCAAATGTGACATTTTTAGCGGGGGTCGTGTCTCACGTGGCAGAGCACCTGCCTAGCAAGCTCGAGGCCCTGAACTCAAACCGCAGTCGCCAAAGAAGTTTTCTGAAGTCACTAATCACTCTCCTTTGGTTTTTACTAATGTATGGAATGGAGTTTCTGCTCTTTTGTGGGTCTTAGAACAGAGCCAGGTGGATGTGAGTTGCATGTTCACTTCTGCCCTCCCAGGCTTTCTGGTTTGTTTCTTAAGCTCTGTTTTAAAATTTCCTTCTTAGCCCTTATATTTATCTACTTATTTTTTGGTGGTGGAGCTTGAACCTAGGGCCTCCCACATGCTAAAAGGGTGCCCTGCCACCAAGCTATGCCTTCCACCATGTTAAATTCTTCATACACACTCCATCCAAGTCTGGTCTCTATTTAACCTACTGCAGAACCCCCAGAAGACCTGTGAGCAGGGTAACTCCCTGAGTGGGGGTATAGCTCAGTGGGAGAGCATTTGCCTAGCAAGTAGGAGGCCCAGGGTGTGAGACCCAGCCCCAGTGGGGAGACCCAACTCCATAAACCTCTGCCTCCTTGGGAACCATCTCTTAGCAATTCTATGGAGTATGAATGTTCAAACCAGAACTGTGAGAGTTTTGATCTCACTAATCATCTCTTGGTCCACCAATCTGCATCACCCTTGATAAGATTTGACCAACAATTTAGGGTTAGGAGTCTTACAGTTGAATGGCGAAAGGAAAGACTTGGTTTGGGGCAAAATATCTGGGAGTTCTGTAACATAAGTAGTAGTTAAGGGAACTTAGATGCAGAATGAAATCAGTCATACTGTTAAGTTTGCTTGAAACATTGATTTAACTTTAGAAAAGCCTTGGCGTTAAAAATAGGAAGACCAGGGTTGAGAAGTGGCTCAAGTGGTAGAGCACTTGCCAAGCTTGTGAGAGGCCCTGGGTTAAATCCCCAGTACCACATAAATAAGCAAATAAATGAATAAATAAATAATACATACATACATACATACATGCATACATACATACATGGAAAGGCTAAACTCTTAAAAGAGCAAACTTTTGTATTTTGGCCTCTGAAAATGAGTGGTTGGGACTCAGTCGTTTGTGCGTGAAAAATGACATGTTGAGTATTTGGAATTTGACCCTGAGGTTTTTTGTTTGTTTTTTTTTTTTTCCTGGCAACTCTCTTGAATGTTCAACCAATTTAGTAAACTCTAATTCGTTCACAGCTTTTAGGGAAAACAAGGATAGCAGAAGACAAACTGAAGGCGGTCAGAGTCATAGAGACAGAACATAGGATGGGGGGCACCAGAGGTTTTCAGTTTTGTAAAATAAAAAAGTTCTTGAGATTCTGGCCACTGATCTACACCTTAAAATGAGTAAGTAAGTAAAAATGGCTAAGGTGGCAAATGTTACGTTGTGTATATAATTTTACTACAGTAAGAGGGAAGTAAAGAAATAGCAGAAGTCTGCAGCAGTTAACCTCCATCTCTTTGCAGGGTGACCAGCCATGAGGACAGTGTCTGTGTAGGAACGTCTATCCTCAGGAAGCTTTTTTTTTTTTTTTTAATCTAGAGATGATTCTCTGGCTTTTAAATGGCCCCCTCTACTATAAACCATGAAGTTAAAAGCAGCCTGGTACAGGAAACAGCAGAGCTGGGGTGGCTGGGAGTTACTGGTGGGGTTAATTTATAACTAAGACAAATGATTCTGTAAAAAGAAGAAAAGCCCTATAAGAAATATGGTAACGGATGGTAAAGGAGAAAAGGGCTTAGATAAAGATATCTGAACTCGTTTGGTACCAGTGATTTTATGACTGAGGAATTCAGTTATAGGTGTGCTGGGTAGAGCAATCACAGTTCTATAAATTACTAATGGACACAGAGATCTTAGCATGTTGTGTGTGTTCTGGGGCGGTCAGCAGGCCTGCCGTCCACACACAGCTCTGCCCAGCCGTCCTGCTGCCTCTCAGCCCAGGCCTCAGGGCTGAAACGTGCATCACGTGTGCTGTTCAACCCTTCAAAGGTGTGGCATACGGAAGCCAAAGTAGGAACCAGCACAAATTTTACTTCTGAATTTTGGCCACTGAGTTTAATTTTTTTACTCCCTCCTTCTCTCCCTCCTTTCCTCCAGTCCCTCTCCTTTTCTTTCTATTAGAGATTGGACCCAGGGCCTGTATTTCACATGCCAAGGACATGCTTTACCATGGAATTTCAACCCAGCCTTACAGTAATTTCTTTTAAAAGATTTTTTTTTAGCAGTACTGGGGTTTGGACTCAGAGTCTCACACTTGCTAGGAAGGCACATTTACTGCTTGAGCCGTGCCTCCAGCCCTTTTTGTGATCGGTATTTTTGAGATAGGATTTCAAGAACTGTTTTCCCAGGGCTGGCTTTGAACCATGATCCTCTCAATCTCTGCCTCCGAGAGTAGCTGGGATTACAGGCATGAGTCACCGTGCCCAGCTCTTTTAAACCATTTTTACAAAGCGGTGATGGCATGTTTAGAAAGATCACAGTCACAGGAAACTACTCATACCTCATAGCTTCTCCCAGTTCTTGGTGACGCGTGCATGTTTTACTCCTGGCAGTTTCCTGTTCTCAGCATTTCCAGTTTCTTTTGCGGTGAGATTGTGTCCATTGTCCCTGTTTACACATAGCTTTGGGGTTATGGCGATATGCTCTTCCATCTTAGTGGTATCACCTAATTTCGTAAGCCAGGTTTTAGGTGGTTTCTAGTGTCTTTTAATTTTTTTAATTTAATTTAATAATTTTTTTTATAACTGGGTCTTGAACCAGATCTTCGCACATGGTAGGCAAGCCCTCTACCACTTAAGGCGCACTCTCAGCCCTTTTGCTTTACATTTTGTTTCTGAGATAAGGTCTCGTTAATACTAACTTTGCCTAGGCTGGCCTAGAACTGGAGATCCCCCTGCCTTTGCCTCCCAGTAGCTGGGATTATAAATATGCACACCCATGCCCAGCTAGGTTTTTTTTTTTTCAATCACGAAACTATTGTGCATTCTTATACTATTATGTACCATGCACATCTTTAGGCACCTGTTTCATTTAATTTAAAATTTTGTTTTCTTCTGATAAGTTGCTAGGAGAGGAATTTGTGAGTGAGAGTGCTTGAGCAATTGTATTACTGCTGCTTTGTTAGTTTT